TGTCAACTTTTCTATTTGTTAGTCCCATTTGACATATCTCAGTCTTTTATTTTACTAATGCGGTACATTTTCTGTGTTCAGTCGGGAAGAAAGCCTTCATAAAAATTATTTTTTATTCGGTCAAGTCTGCCATAGACCCAGCCACACAGCTTTCGGATTGCAATCCAGCTCAAAACACAGGTGAAGTGTGACCTCTCCTGGCTTGTTGTTTTCACTGTGACACATGATAGCGTCTCACTGTTACCTTTTGTGCTCGAGCACTCACTGGCGGCCGTTGGAAAAATCTTTAAACAGGCCTCATCATAAAATAAGCCGCAAGGTTGAAAGCGTGTGACAGAAGTAGTGGCTTATAGTCCGGAAATTACGGTAATTGTGTTATTGTGCAATGTTTTCAGAAAGTACAATGATCTAGAGTGCTGTTTTTCCTTATTAAGAAAATAAACAAAATAAAAATTGGGGGTGGTGGGTTGCCTGGAACAGATCATTGGCATTTACATTCATTTTTCTGGTGAAAAATGATTTGAAATGCGTGTTTGAAGTGTTTTCAGTTACAGTGAAACTCCTCTACAACGAAAGCTACATGGGCGAAAATACCCCCTAGTGTGAAAAAATCTTCATGCATTAACACCATTCCCACTCTCCTGCCCCCCCATACAACGAAAAAAAAACCTGTTGCATTGTACGAAATCTTTTTCTCTGTTCTTGCCTCGCGACGAGATTCACTAAAACAAAGTCTAATCCAGCAGCGACCTCTACTGCTTCGCTCGGAAATGGCAACAGCAACCACCACACTGGTTTACACATGCGCAGTAGTCCAGGAAGTATTTGTTATTGTTCGTTTCAGACGCAGCAAGAATGTTGCATTGCTAAAATGGCTACAAAACGGACCTTTGGATGTCAAGCAGCTAACACAAGAAGAGCTCTGACGCTGGAAGAGAGGGTAAAAGTGATCAAAATGAAAGACGGAGGAAGCAAAATAAGACATTATCCAAGAAATTGATGTCAGTGAAAGTGAATGTTGATGGTAAATTTTGCAATTTCTTTCCCTTTTTTTTCTTTCTACACTGACTATATGAAGTGTCAAATAAGTGTATGCGGAATAAAAATAAAGAGTACACATACGTTTGTGTGTGTGTGTGTGTGTGTGTGTGTGTGTGTGTGTGTGTGTGTGTGTGTGTGTGTGTGTGTGTGTGTTTTCATCTGAGATCAAATTTGCTACAGTGAAAAACCCCCTGTTGTGAAAAATGTCTTGCTGCAAACATGATTTCGTCGAAGAGGAGTTTCACTGTACTAACGTGGTCGCGGAACGAATTCAACTCATCTCGAGGCACCAGTGTAGCTATCCCACAATAGTACTGTCTTCTGACTTTCTACACATAACTACTTTTGTGTTGCTTTTGAATGTCTTCAATCAAAACAATAGGAGAATTGTTGTTTCAGACTGAGTAGGATTACTGACATTTGAGTGTTTGCTCATACCGACTAAGGGAAGTCCGTCCAGTTTGCAGAGCCTAATTTGCAGTTGGCTAACAGTGTTTTCATTCCTGTCTTCAAAGTAGTAGTGGATATTATCGGTGCATTTTCAGAGTACCAAGTAGTGTTGGCATCGATACTGTTATACGAAGTAACATCCAAACTCCACAAAAGGACAGAGCTAAGATTCAAACCATGATTGTCGAACTACGATGCAAACCTGCGAGACACGAGGTTACCCTGTTGCCCACAAGAGCTCTTGTTCAAAAACAGTACACTGCATTGTGTACTTTGACAAGTCCTGATGTGTAAAAATCAACATTTTTCCTCATTTGGTTTTTAGCCAAATTCATAATTTTACAACCATCTGTTGCACGGTGCTCTTATATTTAACCTTCTGTCTCTTATTTACATTTGCGCACACGCTCTCTGATTATTATTCAACTGTCTTTGCTCTTAATTTATTATTTTACCGTTTGTTGTTGTCTGAATTATTTTTGCACAGAACTCTGTATACAGCGGCGGTTGGTCTAAAGTGCCCGAATAATACAGTTGAGTTCAGTTGAGTATTGCAATATTACACGAGCCGCTAAGCTAATGGCTAATTAAAGTCCAACCTGCCCTGATTATTCGGCCGTGGTGGAGGTCTGCACTCCAGTTGCAGATGTTTTGCACTCCCATACGGCCCTTCACGCTTTATTTATTTATTTATGTATTTATTTTTCTTGGTTGTTTCCACACACAGAAGTACACGACGTTCAAGCACATGCACGCCGGGGACATTAAAAACACACTTTGGTGGAAAAAGAGTCAGACAATCTGGCGGAGGGTGGCTATTAGTCTCGCTGCATGCTCTCTGTGGATAATTACACCAGCCAATATATCTGTCTGGCCTGTCTGTGGACGCACACGAGTCTATATTTTACTCCACGATGCTTCAGACCTGCTTGTCATGGAGATGCCACTTTCTTGGTTCTTGGCATTGTTGCACTTTATCGCATGGCAAAAGTAATGACACGCAACTCTTGATCAAGATCTAAAGTGTGTCTTCATGGGGTTGAGAGATTTTTTACAGCAGTCACGGTACCATTTTTACAACCTTGCTCGAAATAATAAATCTTTCCTGATTGTATGCTTTCAAGTTGCAACCATTTCCCACATCACAGCTGTATCCTGCCATAACCAATAGCAACAGATGCACGGTTTTCGGCCACTGCGAGCCTCGCTCTCTTCATAAACGGTGGAAAGCGGAATAGGAGTTGTTCTCATAAAACAAAAGAACAACAACAACAACAAAAACCCTTGGAACCAATGCAATGTTTTTTTTTTCCAGAGCACCATCATAAAACCTTTTTTGTGAAGCTTGAAGTAGTATTTTAACAATGGGGGTGGGGTGTGTGTGTGTGCCAAATTTAGAAATAAATAATTGAATGCCATTCGATCCAGCCATTCCATCCATCCATCTATCCATCCATCCATGGATGGATGGATGGATGGATAATTGAATGCATTGATGTTAAATATTTTCATCAAAGTTTTATTTTATTTTTAGGGCAGCTCAGTGTTTAAGTGGCTAGTGCGTTGACCTCACGGTGAAGAGGTCGTGGGCTCGATCCCAGCTTCTGCCTTCTTGTGTGGAGTTTGCATGCTCACCCCGTGCCTGCATGGGTTTTCTCCGGGTACTCCGGTTTCCTCCCACATTCCAAAAACGTTAATGGCAGGCTGATTGAACACTTTAAACTGTCCTTAGGTATGAGTGTGAGCGCAGATGGTTGTTCATCTCTGTGTGCCCTGTGATTGTCTGGTGACCGGTTCAGGGTGTCTCCCACCTACTGCCCGAAGACGGCTCGGATAGCCTCCAGCACCCCCAGCGACCCTTGTAAGGATAAAGCAGATCAGAAAATGGATGGATGCATTTTTATTTTTATTTACTGGCATTTTATTTTATTTTTTTATGACTTGGCCTTGATTTCGTGACACTGCAAACAGGTCAACACTGTATTTAATTCCTGGACACTTGAAATAATTACTTGTATTCATATCTAAATAAATATATTAAATGCCGATAAAAAATTATAACGATCTGAAACAAAGAATATTTAATTTTGGCACACATACAAAAAAAAACAGAAAATAAAATGGTATTCAACCAATCTATAGTAAAGTAAAATTATATTTAATTGATATTTCATTGATCGCACTGATCATATTGTACTTGGGAGGCAGCACATCGCGGTAGTGGTTAGCACATCTGCACCATCATCCTGGGGTTCAGGTTTGAATGTTGACTACTGGATTTCTGTGTGGACTCTGCATGTTTTCTGACTTCCTCCGACACTTCCGAAAAACACAAACGTCAGCTTCACTGAAAATTGAGCATGAGTGATTGTTTGCTTGAAGAGATGAACTTGATCAGAGGCGCTTAGTGTGGTTTCAGCGTCCAAGTAATCTTGGTCTTGTTTTTTTTTTCTATGTTTAGACTGTACTGTGGTACCTCTACTTATGAAATTATTTTGTTCTGGAATAAATTTGTTCACGAAAATATTTTGTAAGTAGAGACGCGTTTTCCATGTAAATGCACTAATCCGTTCCAAGCCCCCCCAAAATTCAGACATAAATGTTTTCTAAAAAATAAAAATGCATCAAAATATGAAACAAATACACGTTACAATTAGACTAGGATGCTGCATAGATACATATCTATCTATTTATCAATCTACACACATAGACACATACGGTAGAGGTCCCTCTTAGCCAATGGGATGCCAGGATGATGCTTGGTAATAGCCAAAGGCAGAGCAGGTATAAGTATGTTGCGTTCAGGAAACTCGGAGCTGCGACGAGCTGCCCATACTGTATTTTTCCCTTTCGTATCTTGAAAATTCTTTCGTAAGAAGAAGCAATATTTTCCTATTGAGGCGTTTCATAACTTGAAAATTTAGTATGAAGAGACGTTCTTAAATAGCGGTACCGCTGTAAATAACAAAACTTGCCATTTTATTATCTTTGTACTGGCCCTGCAACCAGAGTACTCTGTCTCTCAAGCCAGCTGAGATAGCCTCCAGTTGATGGGCTAATGAAGACAATGGCGATAGAAAATGGGTGGATGGCTATCACCACACTTTTCCTCATCACTGTCACCTGTCTTCTGCGTCCGTTTGTTTCACGTCCCTTCAGGATACCGGAGTGCTCCGTGCATGTCACTGTGACACCCTCAGGCGGAGGGGTCTTTGTTGTAGGTAGTGGAGGGTAGGAGAGGATTTGGAAGCAACATCAAACACGCCACAATTCCTCCGCCGCCTCTCGGAAATGACCAAGACTTGCGGGAATTCACAGGATTCCGCAACCAGCCTGACTGTCAAAAAGGATACGCAATTCACACGAGAGCAATCCCTGGTTAAATAGCGATTATATGCCAATCTGGTGGAAAGTGCGGAAAGTACCACCTGCGTCCTGTTTTTGCATTCGTCGAAAACACACTTCTCGTTAATGTGCGTGTGTGCTGAAAAAGTGTTTCTGTCTTGCAGGGTGAAGTGTCCGCCGCCGGCCGAGAGAAGTTGAGCTCCGCGCTCGAGTTCACCGGGGCCACTTCCTGATGATGACAGTAAACATGGGTGAGTGGCGGTGCACGAGCGAGAGCGCACCTTTCCTCACACTTCCTCTGGCGGGAGAAAAGAAAATAACACATTAAAAAAAAAAAGATAAGTGCACAAGCGGCAGCACCAGATGGCCCGTTTTGTTTTACGACATTGTTTTGGGAAATGTTCCCTCCTTTTTATGAACTTGAAGTCCGTACAGTATGTGGGTGTATTTCCACCATTTAGACTCGAAAGCTTTGAAATATTCAGATCAATATAATTTTTTTTTTTGCCCAAGCAGTCTAAAACAAGCATGTTTTGGCCCTGCCTTGTTTCCACAGAT